AGGGTTATGCTTCACGAAAAAAGCTTTGGGAGTGTCACCCGAGACTGTTGTAGGGTTTCAAATGATTTGTGATGCCTATATGGGTGAGGCATGTTTTTCCCCAACGACTGCGGGTAATACTTTGTTAGATAATGGAGCCTCCGTCCTTACGGGCCCATTTCTTCTTCAGAAGCTTGAATGAGGTTGACTCCTAGACTTGCTGCCTCCATGTCACCATGTCGACTGCATCTCTTTCCTATTGACAGTATTTGAATACACATGTGATGAAGGATACTTGCGTCTCTTCAGTAGAGTCCCTCTTCGTCCTATTTGTATTATTTCCCTATACGAGGGCCATTGATAGACAAAAGTTTTCCTTTCTCACGCCCTGTCTAAACAATCTCAGGTTAGTCTTTTGCCGTAATCATTCCAACTTTTGTTTATCCCAGAGGTAACGCTGATGGAAACGCTTGAGTAGGCCGATGTGGCATCGGTATTCAGGACCATAAAGAAGCGTGAACTGCAAAGTGGTTTTATCAATCTTGCTTTTTGTATATTTCGTTTGTTACCTCACTTTGCTGCAGATGTGTTTTTCTGTACTCTACAAAAAGCATGATTGTCATTGGCCATTTTTGTCTATTTCTCTGTCCACTCTGGTGTCAGAGGATATAACATAGCCTAGTTAGGTAAAGGTTGGGATTATTTAAAGCTTGATCGATTCGGTGGAGGCGGAAAATGGTTGATACTTTTTTATTTGGTGCAGCTTAACGAAGAAATACCGTCTTTTAGAGGCCGACCTTCATGCTGAAGAGTTTTGTGGCGTTTGTAAAGAACTTTACTTGCTGGTGGGCCGCTTGTAAGTGAACGATAAAGACTCACAAACCAGCTACGGTGAAGTCTTTAGACGAACCTGAAAAAGTTGAACAAGTTGCTGTTTTGTTTAGCCATTATAAACACGTTGTTCCTGTCATTCATTTTTTCTCTGTAGCTTGTTTCAATATCATGCGAATTAATGAAAACTGTGCCGGTGGCCAGCACACAGTCATGCTTGATAGCGTTTGAAATTGGGAAAGATTTAGCGAATTCACTGCCGCATCCGAACTATCGCAATCTACACATCGCGGGTAATTGTGAGAAACTTTGTTCCAATTTGCTCTAAAATCGCATTGGCTCTCAAGAATTATTGTCAATTTAATTTACGAGTTTATTCCGTTGTAGTTGGCGAGGATATGACTGTCATCAAAAAAAAGATATAAAAACAATCTCGGTAATTTGAACAGTAGGATTTTGCTAATCCTTCCACCCGAAGCAAGGCAATAAAGCCACTAAGACGCAAGGAGTTACTGGGTGTGATTGGATATGACAAAAAAACATAAAAGTAATTAAGGAGAGAATATAACGATTGACAGTGCATTTAAATTTTTGAAGATGAAACTTGACTGGGATGCAAGAAGTTCTTTTGTCTTTGAAAAGGGATAGAATGAATGTTAAGTCCGCTGAGTAGATTGCCTTAATTTCAGAACTTGACAAAGAGTTTTTTCATGCCAAACAAGGCGACCGCGTTTCCATATTTCATGAGCTATGCCACCGACATCTGCGCCTTTGCCACATATTCGTTGATTTAATGTTGTCGCTTGCTCCATGTCCTGTTTAATTGGCTGCTGTTAGATGAGCGGTTATTCCACCATCTTATGCAGAAAAAAAGGAGATAGAAATGCTCAGGACAACAATTTAGAATAGAATCTCTGTTGATGTCGAGGAATGAATTATCTGCATGATATATATGAGAGTGGAATACGCTGACTTTAGGGTTTGATAGCGAGATACGATTATCGGGCATTGGCTTTCTTTTGTGGGCATGATCGGTGGGCGATGCGCTCTTAGAAGGTATCGCCGTTTGACATAACATCATTTTCGGTTGTTTTTGTTGAACTAGTGCCTATTTTTTCTTGAGGAGGAATCCATAAATTGCTTTTTAAATAGTACCGGATTTCATATCATATCACCTTTCTCATATATATATATATATATATATATATTGTTTAAATTTTATTATGCTAATAGGGTAAAAGTGTTCAATACTGAAGAAAAGAAAGCTCAAAGGTATAGCCAGTGTGGACATAGTAATAAAAAATACATGGCGACTGTCAGTTTCATACTTCAATGAAATCTTCAGAATGGGTCTGACAGTCACCATGTTGATCCCTTTTTCCCCATTGTCCATATCCATCTGTCCCTCTCCTCAGGACTTCATCAATTTTGTTATGTTGCTAGGACTGAACATGCGCACGGCAGAAGTGTGCTGGGAATTTAAAATTATTTTTCATCAGCCGAATTCATTTAGAGTCTTTTTTTTTTTCTTTCTATTATTTTTGTAAATAGGTATTCCACACTATGGAATTAGAAGACCTGTCAGGAATGCTGAAATCTGGCAAGAGCCAAGGCACAAATTTACTGTAGGTGACTTTTGCGATTAAGGCACTCTCTAGACATTTACGTTGTAGTGAATTATTTTCTACTT